CCCCGCGCCCCCGCCACCGGCCCTCTCCTGATGTGGGCTGCCACCTCGGTGGACACGGGCCCCAAACTCTCCCCGAGGCGATACAAACTGCCCGTAACACCTGTACGCTGACCTGTTGCTTCTCTACGCTTGTACGCCAAGCAAATATTTCACGGAACTATTTTAAATATTTCTGAGATTCCTCCGAAGCCGTGGAAAAAGCCCAAGATGAGTATGAACGAAATGGGATGGGAGGAAAGCTGGGTTTCGAGTCCAAGCATGAGCCAGTGCTCTGAGCCAGGTGTTTTTAGGCCGGGAAAGGGCTGGAGCGGGGTGGGGATGACCAGGGACCGCAGTCAAGGGCATCTTCACCCAGCGGCCACACGGCCCTGGAAGCTGCCCGGCGCGGGAGCGGGTTGTCGGTGCCAAACGAGCTGGGAACGTCCTCAGGAAAACACGGAGCTGTCGCAGCCGCACCGTCAGCAAGGGGCTCTGGGATGCAACGGAGAGGCTGGGCCTCCTGCCCCTAGCTAAACCCGCAGGGAAAAGGCAGCTAGTGATTTTGGATGCCCCCGCTGAGAAAGGGGACCTGATATTCAGAAGGGAAATACTCGACTCTGAAATCAACTCACTACCGGCTCCCCCAAGTCACTCGTGAAAAGATGGGCCTGCTCAGCAGTTCAGCCTTAGAGCAATCTGAGCCTCGCCTAAGCCCAGGGGCTTCTTTCTTACGGCACTGCAACGACTAATAGACTTTCGGTTCTCTTCATTTTGGGTGGGGGGGAGAAACATTTGCACGAGTACTACAGAGAATGGAAAAAGAAACCACGCTAAGAGAAACCCCGAGCAAGCCATCTCGTTTTCCATCCCTATCCCTTTCTATCTTTCCCACAGCCAGGTTTCTCCCCTCGCCATGCCCTGTTATTCAGGGAAACCCAGCTCCTTCAAAGGCACCTGCACGCCTGGACGTCCCACCAGCCCCAGCGCCACCAAGGGCGATCTCTCTACCTGGACCAGCTTGTCGATGCCCAGCGCTCGATCGAGTTCGGCCAGCTCCGTCTCATCTTTGCCGCTCAGGAAGGAGACGAGCTGCTCGAGCAGGGCCTTCTCATCGTTGCGGCCCTCTGGCGTGGTCGGGGGGCACAGGAGCTCGTCCAGCTGCGACGTGATGCACGGGCTGCGGGGACAAGGAGGCAAGGGGAGAGGCGTGAGTTGGGAGGACGGCGCGGCGCTGAGCGGCCGGAGACAACCTCCGTGCTTTTCCCGAGCTTTGCGCCCGCGAGCGTTTTGGGCAGGACGGCAGGAGGCAGAGCAGAGGAGGCCTGGACGGAGCTGGAGCAGCTGGAAGCGAAGCAGCTGAAGGCACCGGGAACCCTTCGGCTGCAAAAAAAACGACATTTCTGGAAAGCGCTCTCAATATTCTTTGGGAATAAGATTAATATGTAACGAGAGACATTCCAGTGACGTGACTAATTGGAGTCAATGGGATTTGCCGGGTCGGACACAATGAGGGGCGCCGCGGCACATCACGCTCGCAGGAAGGCACAAAGGAGGGAAGGCCGAACGTGCCAGCAGTTCCCAAGCAGCAGACATGTTTATCCGTTTTGCTCCAGATGAGGACCAGATGTACAGTAAGGAACTGCAGCCAATCTGACCGGGAACACTGCAGCCAACACACGCAACTTAATCCAGTGAAAGAAACACTCGGCGCTGGGATTTCTTAAATTGCAGAGCAGCAGGGGAGAGGAGAGCCGGGAGACAAGAGGTGAAAAACGGGGCTCGATGCAGGCTATAGCCAAAGCCCAGCTACTTGCTGTTTGGTATCAAACCGAGTTTTTAAGCGTCAAGGCCAAAGAACGGCGTTTGCTGCAGTAACGCACCGTTCTTGCGACGAGAGGGTGGGGAAAACACCCTCAACCAGCTCCGCGTTAACATGTGGCTAGAGGATAAGCTGAGCGGGACGCCATCTCCTCGGCCCACGCCGCACCGCTGCGCTGAGGACAGCCAGCGGTTTGCAAAGAGATCGGGGACAACAACGTGTTTTACGGAGCCAAGAAACTGGCTCCGGGTCCTTCTCTGCAGCCACCTCCGCAAGCTTTCCCTCCTCCGGTGCTGCGCCGACGATGGGCTTCGGGCGAGCCTTTGGGCACGTCTCAGACGGCTCCGGACGCCGGCGGTCAGGCAACCGGATCGAGCCCGGGGCGGCATGTTTGACCTTGGTGCGTTACAGCGAAGGAGCGTGGGAGCAGCCGAACACACGAGTCCGACGGAGCCGTGATGGGGCCCGTCAACGAGAAAAGGGGCGCGACGCCAGCGATGCGTGGCCAGCTTGCGGGACACGCGCGCGCTTCCAGCAGTTTTGCCCTCCGCCTTTTCCGTCCCCAAACCTCAGGAGAGCCCAAGGTCCCAAGCCAGGATTTCAATTTCCTTTACGCTTTAGGTAAACCTTAGTTTAGGAATCTTCATCCAATCCTCTTTTGGCCCAGAGGTGCCCTCTGCGTGTAACAGGAAGGAAAGCCTGCAAAATTAGCTGGGATGACGTCTGGTTTTGGTGAGAGGGAGCTGCTGCCCCTCCAAATTCAGGCGCAACCTCATGAGGAGGAGCAAAAACTCCCCGGCGCGCTCAAGCGCTGCTGGCGGTCGGCGAGAAACCCTTCAGCGTCCTCATGGCCTTCGCGAGGCAGGGCCTTATCTAAAGGGGGGGTTTTGGGGTCCCGCAGCACCTGCGACGGCACGGCTCTGCCCACTTGGTTTCAGCGCGGCCTCCTCGGGGGGAGGAGCGGAAGAGCGGGTCGCTCGGACGAGGTGCCTCCGCCGGCGCGAGCGTTTCCGTATTTCAGACCTAAGCGGAAAACTGGTCGGAGCAGAAATCGCTGCTCCCGGTTGAAGCCAAAGCTGAGATTGGCAGTTTACGTCTGCACCGCTAGATGGAAGCGTTTATAGATCAAAGCCGGAGGAGCCGCTGCGGCTCTTCGGAAGGATCTCTGCCATTTCGGTGCTGCAGTTCTTCAGCGCCCCAGGACGGCTCGGGGCAAGCTGAGCCTGGCGCAAAGGCCGGGACGGAGCGGACAGACCTTGGCGCGGACGCTCCTGCCAGGGCGACCGCTCAAGGAGGGCCCCGGGGCAGCAGCCCTATTCCTTGCCCACCCCGGTCCACGGTGTTTTCCCGTGTTTCCCGCTGCTCCGGTGGCCTCTGGCCGCAGGCTGGGTTGCGCTTTTCCCTTCTGACTCGTAAGGGAAGGCTGTTTTTACCCGCTGCAGCAAGTAAAGCAGCATCGCAAGGAGCGTTTGCAGCTCAAAAGCAAGACGGACGTGTGTTGATGCGCTCTGCCCTTGGCCAGCTACGAGCCACGGACCGTATCCCACCAAAGAAGCGGCGACGGCGCCCTGATTTAAGACGGACGCGTCCTCCCGGTCACGAGGACGCGGGCTGCTGCACGTGGCGCTCCCCC